CAAGAGTTGGGTACAAAAGCCGAGTTGTGAGATACCCAATGCCATAAAAAAGCATATTCAGCAAGGATAGATATTTTGGGAGTGAGGCTTGTCGTGGGGGGGTGTCTTTTTTGTCGCCGTTCAAACCTCTTTTGCAGGTAAAGTGATGTTTTCAAATGACAAAAAGATCATTAAGGACAAAATCTTCTTCACGGGTTAGGCTTTTGAGAAGAACAAATAATTATTTGGTTGCAAAAGAAGGGTCCAAAGCCTCAGAAAATCATCCTTCAACAACTTTTAACTCTTCTGTTTCGACTCTTAGTGCATGTCTGTATCAAACAGGAAATTAGATTGGTATTCTTTTTTTTGGCTCCTCTTTCTCTCTCTAAATTCCAGAAGAAAATTGTGCAAATAACAAGACCAGATCTTTTATACTGTAATTTGTAATCTGAGGCAATATTTTTCATTAATGCAGTTGTAATCATTTGTTTCGGGCTTTTTTTTTTTTTTAGGGTATACCAAATTAGACTTATTTGACAAAAAATACACACTAAAAAATATAGGGTTATTAAGTACTTATGTATGTATGTATGTATGTATATACTTCTTATTAAATCTCATATTTAAATTTTGAATTATCTTTTAATGCACCTTGATTCATGCATTTTTTTTTAGAAAGTGATTTTATTTTCAAATTAATTTAATATCCGAATAGTGTAATAGTGTAACAATAAAAGTGTAACACTAACAATGTAACAATATAACAATAATAGTGTAACAAACTATTTACACAAAATATTATACTATTACATTTTGTCAAACATATAATTTCATTCAAAATAGTTCATCTCTGTTTTGAATTTGTTACCATATACACAAAACTACTGAACACTGTTTTTGTTACAGTGTATTTATTACACTGTCTTTGTTTCAGTATTTTTGTTATACTATTATATTATTTGGATATTAAATTAATTTGAAAATAAAACTATTTTCCAAAAAAAAAAAAAACGTTTGAATCAACGTGCATTAAATATAATTTGAAAACAAAATCACTTTTCAAAAAAAAAAATGCGCATGAATTAAGGTGCATTAAAGATAATTCAAAATTTAAATAAAAAATTTAACAACAAATATATATATAAACATATATTAACAAATACACATGAATGAAGGTGCATTAAATACGTATTTATATGTATTAACAAACACACACAAATTAATGTGCATTAAAGATAAGAGATTTTGAATTAAATGACCCTAAAATGGGCATTTATGTCTTTTTAACTCACATTTTATTTTATGTACTTTTTGCCAAATAAGTCTAATTAGGTGTACCGACTTTCAACGAACCCTTTTTTAATCAACATATGTGATGAACCCAAATCCAACTGGTTCAAGGCTTAATTTATGGAATAAGCCTAAATTAGCTATATAGCAGGTCAAGTCCAACTTATGGATTCTGCTCAGTCCAAAGTTCAAGGAGTCCGAAATAATAGCATACAACATACGTGGGGAGTAATTACCGAGGTAGTCACTTTCAAAAATCAAAACTATCTTTAATTGTACGTATCTTTAATTGCAGTAATTCACTCCGAAGAATTAGTCATCTATCCCTTCATGCCACCGCTTCAACTAAGTCTCTATGCCTATAAATTATAAGGCCTCGAGGGGGGACACATTTGACACAACTATCTCTCCTAAAGGTTGCCCTTGCTCTCTTTCTCTTCCACCTTCTACTTTATTAATAAGTTCTCCGGCACCGTCTTCAATAGTTTGGTCACCCGACCCAACCACCAATTCTTTATCTTTTGTTATTAATTGTTTCATTAATTATTTGCATTATTTACTTGACTGTTTGATTGTGTATTGTCTAATTTGTGTATCATCAATATGGTACAATTGTACTAGTACAACCATAAGTAGGCCTGTCAAAATCTGACATGACACGATTAATTGACACAAATTAAGCGGGTTTGAGTGAGATCTTAACGGATTTGGGTGGTAAACAGGTTGACCCGTTAAACACGTTTAGTAAATGAATCATATTTGGGTGAGATCTGTCAAATCGTTTATCACACATTTACCCGTTTAAATAAAATTAATATAATAATAAATTAATAATTATTTTAAAAAATTAACCAAAAAAAAAAGTAAATAAATCAATACAAAAGAAAGAAAAAAATAAAACAGTAGTTCAAAGACAAAAGAGGGGAGTTGAGAAACAGTTTAAAGACAAAGACAAACTAATATTTTTTGTTTTTGTCCCACATCGGCAAATGAGGGGAGATGAGAACACTGACTTGCCTATAAAAGGCAGTGGCCTCTTGCCTTTTTTTTTTTTTAGTTTTCAAGTTTGATTTTTATGTGAGATTTGACTAGAAATTTCTGTTTTTTTTGAGAAAAGTACAACTAGTAGTAAAAGAATAGAGTATTAAAATTTATTGATATAATTTTTTTGCAAGTAAACGAGTCGTGTCGTGTTACCCATTTATTAAATGGGTTGTGTTCGTATTGAGATTTTTTCACCCGTTTATTAAACGTGTCGTTTACGGGTTTACATGTTTTTCACTCTTCATCCATCTAACCCAGCACACAAACGTTTAACCCGACACATTTGACACCCCTAATCACAACCGTTCAATGTTAATAGGATCGATTTCTCTCTCTCTCTCTTATAATTTTTAGCAATTGACATAATCCCTTATCACATGGCGGGCGCTTATGTGATTTAATTTTAAACCCCGAAATTATTTAAAATCTGAACAAACGAGATTGAAAAAGAGGGCTTATTCGTGACATTGTGTGGCAAGGTGTCGTAGAAGGTGGAAGGTTATTGTGTTATTGGAGTGAGGAGATGATTTTGGTTAATGAAAAAATTTCCAACGGAAGATCCAAAGCTGTATCGAAGATTGCAAGTTCCTCAATAAAAACCCAGGGTCATGTAAAGCACACCTTGGTAGAAGGCAACACCATGCCGCTTGTTTGGGCAACACCATGCCATATGTAATTGGAGATTAATATAAGTATATAATGTAATGTGCATTTCTTTAATATTTTGTCTGATTAAGGAGAATCTATCAACCGTACGTTTTAAATTTGTGATTGCACGGATGCATAAAATCAACAATAAATCATGATCATTGGGTGACCGATACTCGAACTTGTAATTTTGAGATAGTCTTGCCACTTGTCGTATTTTTTATGAGGTTTTTTGAAATAGGCAAAGTGTCAATACAACTAACAAGTTTTAATAAGTTTATCCCGACGATTTTAAATAGACTCATTCAATAGTCACCAATATTCCTTTCAAAATTATTCTCATTGAATTTCCTGCTGTCCAAGTACATCACTTCTTACTTACTTACTGTGTCTTCAGGCACAAATTACACCTTAAAAAATAAAAAGTATCACAATGTCTAAAGGTAAGAAATATCACTTGCCCAAATAATTTTCCCTAAAACAGATCACCAAATAAAGTTTAGGCCAACAAAGCACTTGATTAATTAATGGGTACAAGTAGTCTTTTGTCCAACGTTATTAATACATACGCGGTCTATTCACTGTCAAAGCGATGTACCTGTGTTCTTATAGAGTTAGACAAGAACAGTAGGTAAAAACTTTTCAAAATTCTAGTGATCGGGACAAGAAAGGAATATGCACTAACCTTTGCTCAAGAAACCTCCTTATGCACTTTCTTCTTTGTTTACAATAAAGCGATGTTACGTGAACAGCTCACTGCTTGGTACCAGATGGGGTTCTGGCTTGATGGATTGGAAAACACCTCCCAACAACTTGTCAACTTGTAGGAAATAGATCCCTTATAGCAACTCCAAGGAGAGTTGTATCAAGGGTGGCGATCCCATATGTCACCCCAAATTTAAAAATTTTCACTCTCTTTAAAATAATATTCAGGGTTGAAAATAGTATCAAGACTCTTGGGATGCCATTTTTTGGCAAATTTAGAGAGAGAAAGTGAGAGATTACAAATGAATTGATGAATATATATCCGTTAAATAAATATAGATTCAACTATTTATATAGATTGATGAATAAAAATATGAAAATGACTCTCTATTTTGACACTTGTCATTAAAACAGATTTATAATTCAGGAATGTCAAAACACTGTTAAAAATTATAAATGAATGATTTGACACCCCAAAATAACAACTCCCTTTAAAATTACTCTTAACTCGTTGTAATTCAGAGACAATGAATATCAAAATTCACATGTTAATACAAATTAGTCTTTTTATTTTATTTAATAATGTTATATACATCATCTTTATAACGCACTTAAGATAATAGTATTGTGCCATATCAAATCTCCCGTCATTATCTTAATAAATTATGTTGAATTTTTAAGCCTAAATAATATTTTTCTCTATGCTAAAACAAGTATACAAGCCCAACGCAGGTTGTAAGCTAATGTCTCCCGACAAGGCCACTAAAGGGTCTCATGAACTGTTCACAGCCCTTAGCCATGATTCATTTAGTGTTTTCACTCCCTTGTATTTTGGGTCATGTCTGTAATTATTTGTTAATGATCTCAAAATCCTTCTAAATATGGTTTCTAGTGGTCACTTGTCAGTAGTCAAAGTTTAATAATGTGGTTCTCATAAGGAGCTGATATAAAGCAAACTTCCAGCTGCTAGTGATATTTCTTTTTAGTATTTTGACGAAGAATGATCGAATCAGTTGACGTACATTTTAATTAATTATTTTTTTACTTGATTAAAGTTTAATAATATATGTAGAAATTAAAGAATTTATATAAAATATATTTTTTAAGCAAAAGTAACAAAATGATTAATTTTTAAATTTAATATATCTAAATTTTCAATTTGTTCCCAATTCATCCCTCTCTCTGCTTAACTAGGTGGGTTGTGTTAGTGATATCCAGCCAACCATGTTTTGTGCTTTATGTTAGATATTTACCTTGGGACATGCCCAGTTACTTGATTCTCTCTCTATTTAAAACTTCACACAACCCACAAACAGAGGGGAAAAGCTAGTAGAAAAGAGAGTAGAGTTTTAAATGCCTCTCTCCCTCTGTGTCTCGTGTAAAAGCTTACTCTTGTGGTCTGTAATGCGCTGCTAAGAGACTCAAACTCAATTAGCTTCGTTCACTTCAATCATTGTGGTTTGAAGAGCCCACCAAAGGATAGAACAGAGTTCTTTGACTACTTTCTATGTTATTCATCTTCTCCTCTGAACGTCATTTTACATCTGAGATCTCATTTCTTCCCATCCTGTAGTAAACAGAATGAATAAACAAGACTCGAAGATGCAGGTATATTCCAATATAAACTCCAGACATGTTTGGGATTTCCTATAAGTCTGTTCAAAATCATTTATTGCTATGTAGATATCTCAGATCTCATGTATTTTGTTCAACTTTTCTGAACCATTTGTCTGTTCTGTTTTTTTTTTCTTTCCTCTCAATTGCAAGCAGACTTGCATTCTCAGAGTGAACATTCATTGTGGTGGTTGTAAGCAGAAGGTGAAAAAAAAGTTGCAGAAAATTGAAGGTATATTACCTCTTTTTTGGTTTAATTTGTTGGTCTTCCTTACAATTTATTATATTATCAGATTTTTTGGATCTGTTGGAACTTTTTAGTTTATTTTGTTGGGTGTTTCTCTTGGCTAGGTGTGTATTCCGCCTCCATAGATGTAGACCAAGGCAAGGTGACTGTGACAGGAAATGTTGATCCAGCAACACTCATAAAGAAGCTTATCAAGTCAGGGAAACATGCAGAGCTATGGGGAGCACAAAATGGTTCAAACAATCTGAACAATCAGTTCAAGAACATGCAGATTCAGAATTTTAAAGGTGGAAAAGACAACAAGAATCAGAAAAGTGGCAAAGACCAACCAAAGGGTGGTCCTCAGCAGATGCCCATTATCAAAGGGTCTAAAGATCTGAAAGTGCCCTTCAAGGACCAGAAATCTGTCAAGTTTAACTTGCCTAATGATGTTTATGATGAATTTGGGAGTGATGATTTTGATGAATATGATGATGATGAGTTTGATGATTATGGTTTTGATGGTCATCATCAACAACCCAGTAACAAGATACCAAGCATGGGTGGTGGACATGGACCCCATGGGTCTAATGGAATGATTAAAGGCCATGTACAAGGTGCGGGTAGTAATAAAGGTGGGAATACCAAGAAGAGCGGTGGATTTAGTTTACCTGTACAACTAAAGGGCATGGGTAAAAATAAGGATGGTAAGAATGGAAATGATGGTAAGAATGGAAATGGAGGAAAGAATGGCAAGGGAGGAAGTCAAAATCATGGTGGTGGTGGTGGAAAAAATGGTGGGGTTTTCCCTGGAGAGGGTAAAAGTGGTGGTGTAAATGCTAAGGGTGCCTATAACGGTGGTGGTGGAAAGAATAATGATAGTTGGGGTAAGCAAGGGGGAGGGAAAAATGGTGCAGACTATGTAATGAGCAATGTACAACCTGGGTTTCATCAGATTAATATGGGCCATAATGGGGTTGGTGATAAGAATATGGGTCAGATGGGTCAAATGGGCAACTATCCTATGGGTCCAATGGGAAATATTCCGGCAGTACAAGGCTTACCGGCGGCGGCAGCTATGCAAGGTGGCTATTACCATGGAGCGGGGGCAGGGCAGGGCAACCCCTATAACCAACAATACTTGGCACAAATGATGATGAATCAGAGGCAAGGGTATGGAAATGATATGTACCATCCCATGATGTATGCACGGCAACAGCCGCCGGTGAGTTATGGGCAACCAATTCAGGCTCCGGCGACCGATAATTTCACCCACTTCTTCAGTGATGAGAACACAAGCAGTTGCAGTATCATGTGAATTACCAGGCAATCAATTTTAGTCTGTTTTGGTTTGATATGTTGGGTTTGTGCCTTGGTGCTACAAGTGTATACCTTTTGCCGATGTTACTTGGAATTGGGTTAATTTTGTTTGCATTCTAGTTTTTACTGTAATCTTGGAAGCTGTCATTCTATTAGTCAGATGTAAGGGGGTGATTATGATAGTCAGTGTTAGAATTCACTTACATAGATGTAAGGGGTGAGGTCTGGTTTGAGGAATTTGTTAGTTTCTTAAAAGTGATGTTTATATGTCTGGCATTTATTTTCTTCTCACTGAGATTAAAAATAGTGCTTTTTATACCAAATTTAGTGACCAAATCTATTGGTCATATATGTTGTTGCCGTTGGATGAGCAGTGAATCACATCCAATATTAGTCAGTAGATTTGGTACAAGATTGATAACGTACAAAATGTGTTTATGCACTACCTGTCAAATATTAATTGTAGTAATAAATGATGAGTAATAACACAAGTAAAACATAATTTAAGTAATTCGGTCAGAGTGATCTATTCTACTGTGAAGGGTTAGGATGACTTGAGTATTTTATTGTTCAAAGGATGTAAAGTGCTCAGATGTGAGTGATGTGAGAGATGCCACCATGTGTAGGTGGGGTTTATAATTTATAATAACCTCTTAACAGATTGAGGTGCCTTTCTCGTATCAGATGAGGTAGTTAGGTTAAGGTGGTGCCCTTCTCATAATAGATGAGAGTTTCGTAGAGGTTGTGACATGCACGTCCCAAAGAGATCTCCTTGCGTGTTAGCTGTAGACTGAGTCTCTAGTCATGACGTGGCCGACTTGAGTCTTTCAAGATGGCGCGGGTTGACCTATCCTAACTTCCTCCTTCTTGTGGTGGCCTTGTCCTGCATTCCAAACTAGTTCTCTGAGCGGCGATTCTGGATTGGGTCTTGTCTGGGTCGGGGCCATCAACAATATTTTTGAGAAGTAAAATGAAACTGCAAAGTCCACTCATTACATTTGCCAAGTCCATACAGTTTCACCTCTATTTCTCTATGTCGTTTGAATATATAAGGCATTTCACTTCTTGGCAAACATTTATAATTCCGGATTATGCTTTTTTTTTTTCTGTTAATTGATAATCATTCCGATTGCATGTTTCTAGACTCGTGGATATAATTTCAACTAGCGATGTGTACAATCAACCAACAAACCATGTCCATTGCATCAAATTTGGCATCGTTTGTGAGAGTTGATGTTGGAATGTCGAGCCATCTTAGCAAGGTAACGACACTAGTTAATCAAAAAAAAAAAAATGCTGTTGGTTTGGCTCTGCTACTTTTCACAAAAGTTGCAACAAGGATACCAATGCAAATGAGAGACGTTGGTGGAGAGAATCACTTGTAAAACAAGATTCTTTCATCTTAAGAGCATGCATTGAAAACTCTTAATGCATCTTTTGGTCAGCAAATTCTATTTTTAATTAAAGAGTTGTTTCCTAAATCTTCCAACAATCATCTAATCTGCAAAAGCAATTTGGTTGTAGTCACACAAAAAGAAAAGAATAGCCTGTTTTTTTTCTTTTTTCCTTTGTTTTTTGTTTAATGTTTCTCCAGTCTGTAAATGAATTAATACAATTATTAGTTGCTCTATTTCTTACTTTTTCTCCTGTGCAGGGCATAGGCAGGACAACTCCGTCTCGCCCATTACTCCATGAGTCCCAACCTTGAGAGTATGCCACGAGGTACTTGGACACTTATGCTAAACATAGAGGATTGTGACGAGAATACTACAACTGTCTCTTTTCGCTTGGGCCTCCCCAGGGAAAATGAATTAAGGACGCATATCTCACAATGTGGCCATCACATAGCATGTCACACTAGCAAGAACATATCAAAAGTACATCAAAGTTGAAGATGACAAGGGGCTAGCTGACCGGTCACTGTCTTCTCCAAAGAAGAACCAAAGGAAGATTGTACCTCCAAACCTTCAAGAAGAGATGGGCCTTCTAAAGGGGTTAGAGATACCTACCCCATAGTTTACACTATCTTCAAGGAACCGATCTATTGGGTTCTTAGCCAAATCAAAGACAAGAAGTTTTTTAGGTAACCACCTAAGATGATAGGAGATCCATCAAAGCGAGACCAAATCCTCCATTATTTATACCATAAGGGCAAAAGCCATAGGACAAAAAATTGTCGGGCACTTAAACACCACTTGGAGGAATTGATCAAGCAAGGCCACCATTCTCGACAAAGAGAAGACTGCAAAGGAGCAAAGAGAACAACAAATCTAACTAGATGATTAGTAATGATCGCTGGATGACCAACCACCCAAGGTCATAAATTTCATATTAAGTGTGACCTATTCAATGCAGGTCAACTCAATCTAAGCTCGGACAGAATATAGAACAGCTTGTCACCTTCAGCATGTTATGAAAGTAGATGATTAGGCTGGTCACATCTCAAAATGACGAAGGGGAGAATTTCATATCATCCCTGTCACATTTTCAGATGCATACTTAAAAGGAATAGTCTACTTGCACAATGAACCCTTGGTTCTCACTCTTGGCATGAATGATTGCGAAATAAAGCGCGTACTCATTGATTTGGAGAGCTCAACGAAGATCAAGTATTACAACCAGTTCGAGAGGTTGGGTAAGACCCAGACTAACCTCCTCTCAACAATGACCTCTTTGGTTGATTTCAATGAGATGCAAGTTTGACCTCTTGGCATGTTGTAGCTTCTTGTCAAAGCAGGCATGTTGGTGAATGATGTAGAGTTCTTAGTAGTTGATGTGTTGAAAACTTATAATGCTATTACGGGAAGACCTTGGCTACACCAAATGCAAGTAGTAGCCTACACTTACCATCGGATATTATGCTTTCCAACTGATGAGGGGATAACTGAGATTCATGGAGACCATGTTACCTACAAGCAATGCCTTAACATTGGAGCTAAATTAAAGACAAAGTCATAACAAGTCTTTGTGGCTGAAGAGGACATCCCTGTCCTAGAAGATGTAGGGGTCAAGCCCAAAGAAAAGTCAAATGAGGAGCTGCAAGTTGTACCAGCAGATCATGTAGACCGAGAGAGATACTTCTTAATTGGATCACAACTACCTACCTTTGAGAATGAGTCTCCTATCGGGTTGTTGAAAATTAACATTGAGGCATTTGATTGGACACCCTATGAGATGCCGGATATTGACCCTTTAATAGCTAACTATCATCTTAATGTTAACCCTGCTTGCAAGCTTGTGATTTAGAAAGGTAGGAGGTTCTCCATCCACGATACTGAAGCTGTTGTTGAAGAAGTGGGCAAAATTTTGGAAGCTATTGCTATACAAGAGGTTCAGTATCCACAATGGTTATAAAACACCATTGTAGTGAAAAAAAAGAATGGGAAGTGACACAACTTCACATACCTCAATAAGGCATGCCCAAAAGATCTCTTCCTACTACCAACAATTGACCAGCTTGTTGATGCAATGTGCGGACATGAAAAGATAAGTTTCCTAGATGTATACTGAGGCTACTATCAAATTCTCCTGTTTGGACCTAATGAGGAGAAGACAACTTTTATCACTCCAAAGGGAATTTGTTACTACAAGGTAATGCCCTTCGACTTGAAAAATGCAGAGGCTACCTACCAAAGAATGATGACAAGGGTCTTCGGCCCTATGATTGGCCAGATCATCGAGGTATATGTTGACGATATAGTGGTCAAGATCAAGGAGACAAAGATCATCTCTCTGGCTTACAAGAAGTCATTGGTGTCCTTAAGCACAACAAGCTTAGGCTCAACGTCTCTAAGTGTGCTTTCGGTGTTAGCTTAGGGAAATTCTTGGGACATCTATGTCAAGAAGAAGGATAGAAGTTTATCCCGACCAAATCAAGGCCTTACAATCTATTTAGAGACCATATTTACAACAGTTAATGGGCATGATAACCGCCCTTAATTGGTTTATCAGTAGATCGTTTGATCGTTGTAGGCCCTTTTTTCAACCACTATGGGCATGATGAGCCTTGCACTAGGATGAATAGTGATACAAGACACTTGATGAATTGAAAAACAATCTTCAGACTCTCCCTTTGCTTTCCACTCCTTGACAAGGTAGTATCAGAATACACGATTAGTGCTGTACTAATTCACGTGGATGGAAAGGAACAAATGCCAGTTTACTTCATAAGTAAGACCTTACTTGGGGCGGAAATGAGGTATCTTCTTCTCAAGAAACTTCTCCTAGCTTTGATTGTAGCTTCACACAAGCTAAACCATTACTTCCAAGCACAGTACTTTGAAAAGCTGACCTTTTCGGAAGAATTGCAAAGTGGTCACTTGAGTTCGGGTAGCCCAACCTCAAGTTCATCCCAAGGACAACAATCAAAGCACAAGTTTTGACTGACTTCATAGTAGAGTTCAAATTTGAAAGACCATGTGGTAGCTTGGTGCTTGACTCTCAAGTCTCAACCTTTAGAGGTACAAGTAGATGGGTCATCCACCCGACGAGGATTAGGAGTTGGCATCATCTTGCATTCCCCCACGGAGAACTCCTAGAGCAAGCTCTTTGACTATGGTTTGCTTCCACTAATAATGAAGCTGAGTACGAATCACTCTTCCTCGAGGGTAAAAAATGCATTAAGATTGGGTAGAAAAAATTGATCATATACTTCGACTCTTAGCTAGTGGTCAACCCACTTATGAGG